TTCTAATGGCTACACAACAAGTGCCAAAAGATAACAAACAATAGCTACACCAACAAAAGATAAATAGAAAGAAATACCACCCAAACTCAGCTTCTATTTGGGATATAAAACAGGTCTTTCTGACCTCTGAATCCGATCTCCACCGTTCCAATCAACCACTTAGATGTCAGGAACACTCAGTCCAAATTTCAGCCCGATTCAACGGTTAGTTAATTGGAAAACACAATCTGAACATTACAGGTCGGAGAAAAAGACTGTAGCAAAAGAACCCTTTTCTTTCTCTCTTTTTCTCTTGTTGAAAGCTCTCTCAAAAACCTCTCTTATGTTCTAATGTCTTTCAAAGAGAATACCAATGAGCAATTAATTATTCTCTCAAGACCATCCTCTATTTATAGAGTTGTTCTTTTCCTTACAAAGCCAAAACCAACTACAAATAGGATTACAATTCCAATCCTTTTCCTAATAGAATTGGAAACCAAATAAAGAGAATAATTCCAATCCTTTTCCAAGTAGGATTAGGCCATAGGCCTTTGGCTAGAACATGGGCAATAGCCCAACAAACTTCCCCTCCAACCAAGGGGCCAAATGGACTTCAAGTGGAGGAACTTTTAACATGCTTCCTGTCTGCCACACTTCTACAAAACTCATGATTGTATACGATGAGTTCTTTCCACTTATCTCTATGAGTATCTAACATGGATTCATCATAACATTCAGGTTCTCCCATATTAGTCAACAGAATATACTCATCATGAGAATAACATGTTGATCTTCTCTTCTCTCTAGTAGATCTTCTACAAGAGGTTTCTGGAGCATCCGAAACGGTCATCCCAATATTAGTTGGTTGACTATCAACCACAACATCATCAGTTGGAACAATTATATGTTCTACACTCTCATCATTATCTTTATCATTACCTTGGGTTCCCTCATGTGCAGAAGATGTATCAATAATAGAAATTGGATCAACATCAACTAAGCTCTCATCAGTATGAGAATCTAGTTTCTCAGTCTTGTCAATATCTTCAATAGTTTGATCTTCAAAGAACACAACATCACGAATTCTAATGAGTTTCTTATCAATTGGATCATAAAAGCGATATCCAAACTCATCTTGACCATAACTAATGAAGATACATTGCTTAGTTTTAACATCCAATTTCGACCTCTCATCTTTTGGAATATGCACACAAGCTTTACACCCAAACACTTTCAAGTGATCATAAGAAACATCCTTATCAAATCAAACTCTATTTGGAACATCACCATCCAAAGCAAAAACAGGAGACAAATTGATAACATAAGCAACAGTGTTAAGTGCTTCATCCTAAAAAGAATTTGGAAGTTTAGCCTTTGAAAGCACACATCTAACTCTCTCAACTAAAGTTCTGTTCATCCTCTTTGTCAAACCATTTAATTGAGGAGTCTTCTGATGACGAATTCCTTGCGATTTGCAGTAGTAATCAAAAGGATCAGTATACTCACCACCATTATCAATGCGAATACATTTTAATTTCTTTCCCGTTTGTCTCTCAGATAAGGTTTGAAACTGTTTAAACACATCAAACACTTGATCTTTGGATTTTAAAGGATATACCCAAATCTTGCGAGAATGATCATCAATGAAAGTAGCAAAGTAAAGTGCACCACCTTTTGACTTCACTTTGAAAGGACCACACAAATCTGAGTGTACTAGCTCCAATAGCTCAGACTTTCTTGAAGGAGGATGACTGTGAAAAGAAAATCTTTTCTGTTTACGTGCTAAGCAATGAACACTTCTTTTCACCTTTGTTTGTTTCATACCAGCAAGTCAATTCTTTTTATCCAAACATGTGATCCCCTTCTCGCTCATATGACTAAGCCTCTTGTGCCACAATTCTGATAGAGTCTCGCTCTCCACCAAATTTATAGAGTCACCAAGAATCGATCTTTGTGTCACGTATAAATTTGAATATTTTCTTCCTCGAGCTAAAATCAGTGAGCCTTTGGTTAGCTTCCATTGGCCATTGCACAAGTCATTATAATATCCATCATCATCTAGTTGTCCTACAGAGATCAAATTTAAGGGAATGTCTGGAGCATGCTTGACATTCTGAAGGACCAACGTTGAACCGGTATTGATTTTCAAACAAACAGTGCCAACACCAAACACCTTAACCTCACCAGTATTACCTATCTTTAACACCTCAGAGTTAATAGAAGTATAAGATGAAAAGAAGTCTTTTCTTGGTGTGACATGTGATGTGGCTCCAGAATCTACTATCCAACTTGTATCTTGAGATACAAAATTGATGACGTATTTATCACAAGCGAAGAGAAGGTGATCTTGGACAACAACAACGACATTATTTTCATTATTTTCTTCCTTCTTCCCTTCTTTAAGATCTTTCTTCAATTGTTTACAAAATCTTTTAATATGTGCTTTCTTTCCACAATGATAACATATAATATTTGGATTCTTGAATTTTGACTTGCTTTTGCTTTTAACTGTACTCCTCGGATCTCTTGTCTTATGTCTCCCTCGATCTTCTGTATATAGAACATCTGAATGTGAAGATGTGTCTTGAGAATTTCTTCTAACCTCTTCATTCAACACATCACTCTTTGCATATTACATAGTCACCTTTACACTAGTGGCATAATTTGTTAAAGAAACACGAAGAGTTTCCCAAGAATTCGTTAGAGTATCAAGAAGCCAAAGTCCTTGTATTTCATCATCAAAATTCAGACCCCATTCCTGATAGCTGATCAAGAATACCCTGAAAATCATTTATATGATCAAGAATAGGACTGCCCTCCTTGTATTTAAAGGTCATCAATTGCTTTAACAAGAACAACTTGTTATTGCCAGTTTTTTGAAGCGTAAAACGTCTCCAACTTTTCCCACAATGTTCTAGCATGTGTCTCATTCACAATATGGTTGCGAAAATTATCTTCAACCCATTGTCTTATATATCCACATACTTGTTGGTGCTCAAATTCCCAATTTTCATCGGTCACATTCTCGGATTTATGAGCAATAAAAAACGGAAGATGCATCTTCTTCACGAACAATAGATATTTCATCTTGCTTTTCCAGATATTGTAGTTTCTTCTGTTTAGACATATCATCTTGCTCATATTCTCCTCCATATAGATAACCTTAGCTCTGATACCAATTGTTGTGACGAAAAGATGAAACCAAAAATCTAACAATAAAGAACACCAAGTTTAATGTGGAAAAACCCTTCAAACCGAAGGTAACCACTACGGGATCGACAAGATCCGAATTGATTCACTATACCAATAAGAAGGTTACAAATATTCTTCTAATGGCTACAACAAGTGCCAAAAGAAAACAAACAATAGCTACACCAACAAAAGATAAATAGAAAGAAATATAACCCAAACTCAGCTTCTGTATGGGACCTAAAACAGGATCTTTCTAACCTCCTAATCCGATCTCCACCGTTCAAATCAACCACCAAGATGTCAGGAACACTCAGTCCAAGTTTCAGCCCGATCCAATGATTAGTTAATTGGAAAACACGATCTGAACGTTGCTGAATGGAGAAAAAAACTGCAGCAAAAGCATTCTTTTCTTTCTCTCTTTTTCTCTTGTTGAAAGCTCTCTCAAAAACCTCTCTTATGTTCTAATGTCTTTCAATGACAATACCAATGAACAATTAATTATTCTCTCAAGACCATCCTCTATATATAGAGTTGTGCTTTTCCTTACAAAGTCAAAACCAACTACAAATAGGATTACAATTCCAACCCTTTTCCTAATAGAATTGGAAACCAAATAAAGAGAATAATTCCAATCCTTTTCCAAGTAGGATTTCACCATGGGCCTTTGGATGGAATATGGGCAATAGCCCAACACTTAATATTTGATCAAAGGCATCCGAGCCGAAGTAATTCAATTCACTCAAAAGGAGAAGAGCGTCAAGCAGCCCCAACTCTAGCTCCAGAGGGCTCCGTAGAGCAGGAGAATGCTCAGGTCCGTCTACGTGTGATTCCTCGGTTCCTAAAACGTGAGGTGAGCTGCTGATTCTACTCTTGGAGTGACTCAACATAATGCTCCCAGAAATTGAAACCGGAAATAAGATAAAAGAATAAAAAAAAAGACCATAGTAGATCTATGATTAGCCCTCGGTCGGGATGGTCCTGATTAGTGTATTATGGTTAATATATTAACGAATACATTATAAAAAGTGAAGAATATTATCAGATAATTGTATCATAAAGTATATGATATCAATGTTTTTTTCAATTCATCAAATACCCAATTCAGCTGCAATTGCTGAAATAAGATTCTCGAACGCAATATTTCCCAATCACTATCCCATCACTTTTGTATCGGTCGTATCTAACATCACTTTCTCATGATCCAGAATGCCTTAACAAGATCGAAATACTCATATCGATCCTTCACAAAATTCCGTTCCAAAATTATTTGAATTAAATTTTTACTATTTTTCGAAGAACAAGCAGAAGGTTTCACAATTTGATTTTTTTTTTAAAAAAAAATCAATTAGAGGTTTATGAACGACTGATTGGTTGAAGGGAGAAACGTACGCGTAATTTGTGGGAGTTAATTATTGTTTCTGTTTTAAAACCCTTTTTAACACAGTAATCTGATAACAACAATTTAATAATTTAAGTATCAACCCGTTATTAATTAAAGTATCCACCTGCAATATTAAAGTATCCAAAAGGCACTAAAAATAGGGATTTTTGGTAATTAATGAAAGAATAGAGATAGAAAGTAATTTCTTTCTTATACTATATGATTTGCCTAATTTTTATTTTTGTTAATTAAAACACCATTAAGTAGATTGACTCGGCTTTTTGAAGCGACTTGTTGACTTAAGCTCCAATTTTGACTCTTCATGTTTGATTTTAATTTACCTACTGTGGGTTATGATGATAGGCGTCATCATAAACATTTTCGAATTGTGACACAAATAATGAACTTGCTCTACAATCATAAAGTATATTCAAGGAAATAAACTAGATTTAGAGAAAGGTAAAATATCATGATCATATTTTAATTTGCCAAAGGCCATATCAACTCATTTACATGTTAACCACATTTCAAGCTGCTATAGACTTTGTTTTTCATCCATATGATTTTTAAGTGATAACACCAATATTTAGATTAGAATTACTTAAATGCTACTTCGATTAAGTGCACGACAAGCTAAAGGTTTCTTCATCTCAAGAGAGAGCTTCAAACATTCTGAAAGATCAACAGGTTTATTTGGAAGCCATTTGAATCGTTGAAGAAGTCGAGCTAGCCATAGGTGCACTGTGGCTAACCCTAGTACCCTTCCTGGACAAACCCGACGTCCAGATCCAAACGGAGCAAGCCTAAGATCCGATCCCATGATTGAAAAGTCTTCTTTATTAATAAATCTTTCGGGCTTGAACGCCCATGAATCTTCCCAAATAGTTGGGTCATGTGTAATAGCCCACATATTGACCATTGCAGTTGTTCCAGCTGGAATGAAACACTTGTCAATATAAGTATCATGCATAGCTAAACGAGCCCAAGAGAGAAGTGGGCCTGGTGGATGTAATCTAAGAACTTCTTTTACTATAGCTTGCAAATAAGGAAGATTTTGTATGTCTGAGTCTTGTACATTTCTGTTTTGACCCACACATGTGTCAATTTCTTCTTGTGCTTTTTCTTGAACATCTTGATGTAAAATCGTTCTTGCCAAAATCCACTCTACAAGAATGGCAATTGTATCTGTTCCTCTAAATACCATTTCCTATATCAAGTCAAAAAAAAATAAAATTATTCAATTTATTTTACCATTGTACACTTCTCAAATGTAATGACATATATACAATTAATTGTTAAAATTCTCGTATATTTGATCTCATCTTGCTGGAAAGTAAAACATGTTAATATCGATGTTATATGTTGTAGTCGTACAATTCTCAATGCGCGCTTGTTTTAGAAAACAAAATATTTTTTATTTATTATTATCTGACCAAATAAAACCAAAGATAAAGTTATAATGAGATCATACATTAGTTAAACAACAGTAAAATAATTAAGAAAGAAAGAGACTGATTTCATTTTTACAGAGCAAAAACTCTACCAAAGTTGGTGAGTTTTTTTTTCATAATTCATTTTTTAACTATAATTAAGAAGATTGTTAAATTAACTTAATTTAGATTTGTAAATTTTAAATATGACAAGTGCCATTTATCAAATAAACACTTGGTCAGGAAATGAAAAAGAGTGTGTATAATAATATAGAGAAGACGTAATATGGACTAATTCCTAATAATAAGTTCTATTATTAGACTTAATTAAGCTAATTATCTATCTAAATATGCACTTGAGGAAATGAAAAGAATATGTAATAAAGAAAAGTTATGCTATGCAATAGACTTATTCCTAATTATAAGTTCTATTATTGGACTTAATTAAACCAATCATTAATCTAAATATGTACTTGAGGAAATGAAAAGATATGTAATATAGAGAAGCCGTGCTATGCTAGTAAACTTACTTCTAATTATAAGTTCTATTATTGGACTTAATTAAACAATCATTAATCTAAATATGCATTTGAGGAATCGAAAAAGTACTTAATATTAATATAGAGAAGCCGTAGTATGCTAATAAGTTTTATTGAGGAAATGAAAAAAAAATACTTTTAATATAGAAAAGCCGTAATATGCTATAAGTTCTATAAAGGAAATGAAAAAAATACTTAATATAGAGAAGTCGTAATATGCTATAAGTTCTATTAAAAAAATGAAACGAATACATATATAATATAGAGAAGCCGTAATATACTTTTAAGTATGGCCGTTCAAAATCGAATCGAAATCGATAAATTGAATCGATAAAAAAATTATTTATTTATAGTATTGGGTTTTTGACTTAGTGGTTTTGATTTTGATTTTGATTTTTTTTGTTATCGGGTTATTGGTTCTTAACGGTTTAAAGTTTTTTTGTTAATGGGTTAACCGATAACCCGATAGTAAATTAAATAATTATATTTATACCATTTTGTATATAAAGTCTTCAACTAGGTGTTTAATTTCCTACTTTTATTTTTGGTTGTCTTAAACACTTGATTATTCTACAATGTAAAAGTGTTTGCTTTTGAGCAAGATGTAACTTGTGAACTCAAGTGCATGGTTTATTTGGTTTGTCACCTTGTTTCTAAGTGATTTTTAATGTTTTCTCTTGTGTCAAATCTTAACGGTTAAACCGATAACCGATCCGATAACGATCAATAACTAATAAACCAATAACCGATAAACCAATATCTTAATGGTTCTATAATGGTTTAGCATCTCTACAAACTGATAACCAATAAGCCAATCCGACAAACTTCAAAACTAAAACGAACCAGTCAATACACAGCCCTACTTTTAAGTTCTATTGAGGAAATGAAAAGAATAATTTGATATAAAAAAGGCATATTATGATATAAGTTCTATTTATGAGAGTTAATTAAGCCCGTTGTTGGCGGAGCCGGAAAAACTAAAAGTGAAAAACTTATTTTATATACATATATCTAAACCATATATTATATATATACACCACATGTAGTAGACTTATTGCAAGATAAATAAATAAATTTTGTAGTTGACACCATTTGACACAAAGTTAACTTTTAATAATGAGTCATTTCACTTTAAATTATCCACGAATCTTAACTATCAACCTAGTTTTAATTATTATATACTCTAGATATGTTCAACGAGTTGACAATATTTTTTATTATTAGAAAATACTCGTTTTATTTTAATTTATATTTTTGGTTTTTCGAGAGTCAAATCGTTGTGGAAACTTCTATTTTGTTTTTAAATGAAATTTATATATTTGTAAGCTACGTAAAAAATACTATAAGTCACAATAATTGACAATTCAAAATAATTTAAAAATATATGAAAATTAACAGTAAAAATAAACTTGTTTAAATTGAGACGGAGAGAATGTTGTTTTCTACGCCCTAAAATAAAAGGTTATCTTAGCAAAAAGAAATTTGTTCCAAAATAGGTATCATCTTATAGTTTTTCAACTATACCTTTCTACTCCATTTAATTACTAATTTTCAATTTTGGAAGAAACATATATTAACTAGGGATATTTTAATAAATTACCTACCGTACTTATTTAATAAATTTGATTTTATTAAGATGACATTTATTTTGAGACAGAGGATATAGAAAAAAGTTAAATTCAAAATTGAAAGAGGCAGAAGTAATCCTTACCCACAAAATAGCCACCATATCTTCATCTTTAAGTTGATCTTCTTTTGCCAAAGATAGCAAAACACTAAGAAAGTCATTTTTCATATTTACTAATTCTCCCTCTCTTCTCCTTTTTTTCATTATTTCACCAACTACTTCATTCACTTGAGCTCCCAACTTATAACACCTTCTCTTAGTACCCCAAAAGTCTAGAGGAAAATAATCTGACCAATTAAATTCTCCAATCAATTCATATCCTTCCTTTACCATTAACCCTAACCTCTCACCTTCTAACCCTAAACTACTCCCAAATACACTTTCAAGGATATTACTCAAAGACCCTTGTCTCAACAACCCTCTAATCTCAATAAAACCACTCTCATTCATCTCCTTGACAACTTCTCCTATCATTTTATCAGCTATAAGTTGTCGAAGACTCTCAAAACATGAAATTCTCCTAGGAGAAAACATGTGATTCGTTGCAATTCTTCTTAGGTTTCGCCAATAACTCCCATAGGGAGCAAAACCAATGGCTCTTTCAAACATGAGAAGTTTGGTTGATTCCTTCAAGGGACGGCTAGAAAATGAAGCACTCCATAGAATTTCCTTTGCAGTGTCAGGGTGGCTACTAATGATAACTTGAGTAGCACCAAGGCTTATAGTCATTAATCGAGTTGAGCCTAATGATGAAGCAATCTTGGCTAGTTTCCGGTGAGCACACGACCCCATTTGAGGTAGAAATCCCAAAAAGGGCCAAGAAAAAGGACCATGAAGTTTATTAGGGTTTCGATGATAGTAAGTATAGTTTCTCCATGCAAACCCTCCGGGCACTAGCCAATAGTTCAAGAGGAAATTAAGTAGGAGGGAGAAGAGGAGAGTTGCAAGAGTGAAAGGCCATGGATAAGCATAGTAAGAAATAACTAAGATGAAGAGGGCTAGCATGAAGAGCTTCATGTTTAATTAATTTTGGGACTTAAAAATGTAAAAGGTGTACAACTAAAATAACTAAAATACTGGAAATGGAATCTTGTTTGTCGTGAGAGGATTGCATGTGGAATGATTAGTATATATAGGGTAAGTGGAAAGTAATAATTTAGTTTGGTTAATTATTTGGTTTCTTTTGCTTAACCCTGGTTAAGGAACCGTTTTCTTTCGACAATGATAACAAATGATAATTAATTAATCATTGATACTTACAAAAGAATAGAATTGACACTCACAGAGATTTTGTGGGTGGTATCACTTTGTATAGGTCACATAGTTCCTTGCCCCTCCTCCCCCTATTGGAAAAATGATAATCTCATACCAGATAGCAATGATAAAGATAGTAACAATGGCACCTCGATATGGACTGTTTCACTCTTAATTCGAGGTCTTAGGTTCGAGCTTTGGGTATGGAGAAAAACACGTTGGGAGCGCCACCTCCGAATAAGCCCTGCAGACCGCTATCCAAATTTAATCAAAGCTTCAAAGTGGGCTCCAAACACCTGATGGAAAAGCAATAAAAAAAAAGCACCAAATATTAAAACAAAAAAAAATAATAAAATTCTCACTCAGAATAATATTCACGCTAAATAGCAATAAGAAGAGAATAACAACATCAAATATCATAACAGAATAAATATAGTGTTTATGTTATGAGTTCTCACTTGCCCTCTAGTTAGACTCGAATCTTCAACCTAAAGATTGATAGTTGAGGTTTTTACAGCATGTATCACTTGTTACTTCACCATTTATTTATTTTCTTGTTCAATTTAAATTTTGCATGGATCCTAAAATATAATAATCGATATAAATATTTTATCATAATATAATAATACTCACATTAATTAATGTTCTATCTTAAATTTGAGAAATGATTTAGAAAATAAGTAATTAATATTAATGATAAATAAGATCATTATTTATTTTATAGTTTTCGCTTGTTATATTATAAAAATGACATGAGAAATAAAAATAAGTATCTATGTTTAATATAATGAACAAATAAAATAATTTTGTACTTGTCTCAAAATTGCCCCTAGTGAACCTGATATACCTAGATGTTGTAAGCGACCTTATAATAACTTGAATATAATTAGGTATTCCACATTTTGTTGTCAACTGTGTTTCTTGAAAAATATTTCTTTGAACAACAAATTGATTTTTAATTTATTTTCTCATATTTAGTAATGAATAAGATAATATTTTCTTAAGAAGTAGAGTAATGATAATTCTCATAAATTTATTGGACAAAAGAACAAATCTTCTTAAAAATAAAATATACCCAATGATTGAATAGTAAAGGCCACCACCACTTAAGTACTAAGTCAAGCAACCAATGGATAAATCATACGAACAAATATCCTACTTGAAAAAATGAATGAAACGAGAAAAGGCTCTAGAAAGGTGATCCACAATTTTTCTTAAAATTGTTTTTTCCATAGAAGATATATTAAACTCCATATCAATGATGGAGCTCCAATGAACTGGTGTAATCCAGAACAATCTAGAAGAAATTATAACTGTATTGAATGAGAATCGATAATGCCTTTGATTATTAATTGAAGTATATATACACAAGACTGCCAGCCGTAAAGAAGAAACAAAAAATATCTACTAAGTAATTAACTGACTACTAACTAACTGCTCTCTAACAAACTAATGGATCAATTAACTAATTAAGTCTAGATTGTGATTAACAAATTAATTAATAACAATTCTCAATCCCCTTCTCAAGTTGGTGGTGAGAATCTCACAGCCAATTTGTTCAAAATGGCAGAATGCTTGACACCAGTGAGAGCTTTAGTAAGGATATTTGCAAGTTGATCAGTCGTAGAAACATGTTGTAAAGATATGAGCCCCTACTGAATTTTATCTCGTACAAAATGACAATCAACCTCTATATGTTTAGTCCTTTCATAAAACACATGGTTGTGAGCTATGTGTATGGCAGACTGACTATCACAATAAACAGTAATGGGAGAAGGATCAAGTATAGTTAGTTCAAATGAGCAATCTGTGAAGCCAAGTTAGTTCCCCTACCACCCTTCGAATTGACCTATACTCAGCTTCAACTGATGATAATGTGATGGTTTCTTGATTCTTGGACTTCCAGCTAATAGGACGGTTCCCTAGTAAAATCAAATATCCACTTACTGATCTCCTGGAATCTGGACAAGAGGCCAATCAGAATCACAAAAAGCTTGAACTGTGCAATCAGGATCATTTGAGAAATGCACTCCTAAAGTGGGGTCTTGTTTTAAGTATCTGAGCAAGTGAAATACAACTTGTAAATGAGGAGTCCTGGGATGTTGCATGAATTGACTTAGTTGTTGAACTACAAAAGCTATGTCCAATCGAGTATTCGTGAGAAAGTTTAGCTTTCCTAACAATCATATTCTTTTAGTAAATCCAACACAAATTTTCTTTGGAAAATCAGTACTATAGTTGGTGTATCAAAATCTCCAATCCTAGGAAGTGGTGAAGCTTTCCAAGATCTATTATCTTAAATGTGTCATTCAGATACTTCTTGAGTTGAGCAATTTCAGTAATATATGTGCCTGTGAGGAGAACATAATCTACATATACTATCAAAAACACTACCAGGGGCCCTAATTTTTTGTAAAACAATGAGTAATCATGGTGTGAATGTGAATAACCTCTGTGGGACAAGACTTCAGTCAATTTTTCATACCACTACCTGCTTGCTTGTTTAAGTCCATAGAGTGATTTGTTGAGTTTACACACCAACCCTGTATTATGCACCTCAAGACCTTGTGGAACTTTCATATACACTTTATCATGTAAATCACCATGAAGAAATGCATTGTTGACATCAAGTTGGGATATACTCTACTTTTTCTTTACAGCACATGCCACTAAAGTCCTTACTGTTGTCATTTTAACTATGGGTGAATATGTTTCAGTATAATCCACCCCAACCTGTTGCGTGAAGCCTTTTACTACAAATCTTGCCTTGAATCTCTCAATACTCCCATCAGCTTTGTGCTTAACTTTGTATACTCACCTGCATCCAATTGCTTGTATTCCAGTTGGTAATTCAACTAGACTCCAGGTGTTGTTATCATAGAGAGACTCAAATTCTTATCTCATGGCCTTCTGCCAAGCAGGGTTAAGAGATGCCTCTTCATATGAAATTGGCTCACTGTCATGACAAACATTCTCAACCATCACTTGACAGATAGATGCAAGGACTTCAGAGGGAATGTGATAGTGTTTGGTAAACAATACTTTGAGCGAGAGACTAGAGTCAGATGACATGGTATTGTGAGAAGTTCTTGTGGCAGGTATGGAAACAATGTAGTCTTTCAAGTACACTGGAAGTTTATGTTCTTTGTGTCACTTTCTTTGTGAGGTTTGCAAAGGTTGTGAAGTTTGTGGTAATTGGTGTTCATCAACAGGTAATAAAGGATGGTTAATGAATGATGATGATTGTGAAAGTGGGAATGAGAAGACTGGTGTTCATTAACAGGTGTATAATTAAGAGATAAGTCAGGGTTTGCATTAGTATCAAATTTATGATCATTCACGGTGTTGTTTTGAGACCTTGACTCTACAGAATCAGAAGGATCAAAACAAACAGGAATAGTATATTTCTGAACATTCCTAAGAACAGAAGGAAAATTACATATTTTTGAAGACAAAGTAAAAGGAAAGACATGTTCATGAAATACTACATCTCTAAATATATATATTCTTCTTGTGGCAAGACTCATTACCTTTTAACATCTTATTCAAAAGGATATCCCACAAAAACATGAGTAGTTGTTCTTGGTTCAAATTTGTCTCTGAGTGGCTTAGGTACAGTAGGATAGCAAAGGCATCCAAAAGATCCCAACTGATTAAAGTTTAGTTTTTTATTGTACAACAGTTCATATGGTCATTTATTGTGGAGATGGGTAGAAGGAAGTCTGGTTATGAGGTGAGTGGCTGTGAGAATACGTTCTCCCTAATACTTCAAAGGAAGTTTTGATTGAAATAAGAGAGCCCTAACTATTTCTAGTAGGTATTTGTGTTTTCTCTCAACCACACTATTTTTTGTGGTGTGTAAGGACAATTTTTCTGATGAATGATGCCTTTTTCTAAGAAAAATTGAGTTCCCTCATTGTCATTGAACTCTAGGCCATTGTCAGACCTAATGTTTTGTATTGTAGTTTTGAACTGATTCTCTACCATACTTGTGAAGGCCTTCAAGATGTGTAAAGCATTACTTTTGGTACTGATGAGATAAGTCCAGGTAGTTCTGTTGTACTCATCTACAAGTGTGATGAAATATTTGTAGTTGTCATGAGTTGATGCATGGTATGGTCCCCAAATATCAACATGTAGTAACTCAAATATGGAATTGGTTTGGCTGGTACTTTGTTTGAAAGATAATCTCTCTTTGCTAGCCATTGGACAGATTGTACAGAAGAATGGTTATTTGGGGGAGAAGTTAGCAGGAAGAGTGGGCATATTTCTCATTTTAACAAAAGGTACATGACCAAGTCTATTGTGCCACAAGTCAACATTATCATTAGTAGGTGTATATGAGTCATTATCAAATGTGAAATTGTTATTAATGGAATAAGAAGTACAGGCGATAACATCGTGAGAAACAGGGAAAGATATATTATTTATGGGAGGTATTTTACAATTGTTTTTACTCTCAACAGAAATAGGAAAAGAAACATGACAGCTACTAGGAATACATGTTTTACTCTCAATGGGAATAGGTAAAGAACCGCGAGTGTTGCTACAAAGATTTGAAAGACTGTTAGAAAGACTAGAAAAACAACAACATGTTGAACAATTAGTGATATTTTCAGCAGCCTATAGACACCTTGAACATAGGAAGTAGAGACCATCTTTGCAATTATTAATCACTCAAAGGCTCTTCACTGAAGAGGCCTGTAATAGACACAATGCATTAATAAACAAAACTATGGACTTCATAGATGTTGCTAAAGAGTGAATTGAAATGAGATTGTACTTAAAGGAAGGTACATACAAAACTTTATATAAAATGATCCTAGAATTTATTAATACATCACCTAACTCAGTGACTTTAATTCTATATCCATTAGGCAATGAGATTAGCATAGGATACGGTAAGGTTTTAGTGTTGGTTAGTCAGTTTCTGTTGAAAGTTATATGGTTAGATGCCCTGACTCTATGATCCACATGTCAGAACTCGATTCAAAACATTTGCATGTAGGTTTGTCAAAATCAATGGAAGAGGAACATACTACAATACCTGCAAAATTCATACATTCGAGGTGTTGGAGGTATCCCCTGTGTTCTCAAGCTGGAAATGTTGGATCAAATCCATAACTTGTCCATATTGATCCTTTGTGATGCTAGGGTTATTACATCAATTACTTTGTGAGTGTTCTTCTTCATTAGCAGATTCATTAGCAAAATTAGAAGACATTACATTGCCAGTAATATCATGCACATTAGCTACCAACCTCATTCCCTTGAAATTTTGATTATTCTGCTTGTAAGGTTGATTATTGTTAGGTGGCCTGTTAGTATTTGGAGGGAAACCATGTAACTTATAACACCTGTCTCTAGTATGACTTGGTCTTTTGCAGTAATCACAAATCAAAGCATTTCTTCCATTACTACTGCCTTGATAAAACTGTTACCTCCTGAATTGTTGTTGCCTCCAGCATAATTGGTTTTGAAATTCCTTGGTAGATTTCTTTTGTTGGTGACAACATTTGCATTCAAGGAAGATCATTGGACAGTGGGTCGAAATT